GGGGGGGGGGGGGGGGGGGGGGGGGGGGGGGGGGGGCGGGGAAGGGATTCCAAATCCCTTCATCCAGCAGAAACCAGGAAATTCCAGGGGAGGTCGAGTATAAGCACTCCACTCGCACTCCTTTCCCCCTCCTCCCGACTAGCATAGTGCTGGTGCCTGCTTGATACCATTATGAGTGTAATGATTGCACAATCGAAAGACAGAAGCTATTAACGCCATTCTACCTGATTTAATCAGAAAAAAATAATAACCTGACATAACCACCTTTTTAATGTAGAGATCAGTCTGGAAGCTGCTAGATCAGGCAGCCTTCATAGCTCAGTGCAATAACATGATTGAGGGGATAGAAGGGGCATGGATTCTCCACTAGACCACACAGAATAGCTTGCGCCATTGCTAACTCTTCTTTGTTCCTGAACCCGTATTGAGCCATCTCCTCCCTTGCATACTTACCATACATTGGCTGGATGGTGAGCAGGCTGCCTACGACTGAAGCCAGAGAGCTTCCTGTTTGAAACAGGCTCCTCACCTCCTACATCTAAATGAGACATGTTGATTAAAACGAACTAGGCTAACCACAGCCTGTGGCATGTTTATGCCCCTTGCAAGTAAATAGTGTTTCCTATAAACGTCCTCAATATTATTGGTCCTACTGGTATACATGTCGAATTGACCTTTCCTCTCAGCACTATCATGAGATATTTGTTCTGCAGAGCTGCTGATTTTATATGTCACAGTGATTGTTCCCATTCTTCCCAATTAATCAGGAGACTCACCAAGTCCACGTTGCTCCTAATCCCGTTGCTTGGAGTACATTACATCGTGTTTACCATTTTCCAGGATAATGTTTTCGAAAAATATCAGATTGCCTTTGAATTATGTTTTGGATCTTTTCAGGTAAAAAAAAAATTTCCTACCTCTCCTAATTTCTTACAACAAATGAATTCATGGTGAATTCATGTATCTTTTTCTTCCTTCTGCAGGGGTTTATTGTTGCGTTCCTATACTGCTTTTTAAATAGTGAGGTGAGTTAACTTCTGATTTCCTCAAATTTGCCAGTTCGCGACTTTTTTAATAGCTAGTTACTTTAATCAACCCATTTCAGACATGCTATGATACACTGTCAGGGCAGATGAGACTTGACCCTGGATCTTCTTGCCCAGCGGTAGGGACACAATTGCTGTGTCATAAGCAGCACAGTGGCTCAGTGCTACACAGTGCCAGGGACCTGGGTTCAGTTCCAGCCTTGGGTGACTGTCTGTGTGGAGTTTGTACATTCCCCCTGTGTCTGCTTGGGTTTCCTCCCACAGTCCAAAGATGTGCAGGCTAGATGGATTAGCCATAGGAAATGAAGGGTTACAGGGCTAGGGTAGGAGGATGCATCTGGGTGGGATTCTCTTCAGAGTGTCAGTGTGGACTCGATGGGCTGAAAGACCTGCTTCCACACTGGAGGGATTCTATGATAAGGCCCTTGTGAATTTGTTTGTAATGAATCAAGATAACTAATGACAATGAATAGTAGCATGTTTTTAAAAATATCATCTTCCTAAATGGACTTAAATGGGCTGAAAGGGAGCTAGAGAATAGGGCCAGTAAGACTTAGAGGAAGAGCAGGCAGGGTGTGTTTGCTGATCAAAGCGGGTGGACTGAAGTGCATCTGTTTCAATGCAACAAGTGTAACAGGTAAGGCAGGTGAACTTAGAGCTTGGATTAGTACTTGGAACTATGATGTTGTTGCTATTACAGAGACTTGGTTAAGGGAGGGACAGGACTGGCAGTTTAACGCTCCAGGATACAGGTGTTTCAGGTGGGATAGATGGGGATGTAAAAGGGGTGGGGGAGTTGCACTACTTTTTAAGGAAGATATCACAGCTGTACTGCAGGAGGACACCTTGGATGGCTCATACAGTGAGGCAATATAGGTAGGGCTTAGGAACAGGAAGGGCGCAATCACAATGTTTGGGGTTTACTATAGGCCTCCCAACAGCCAGCGGGAGATAGAAGAACAGATATGTAGGCAGATTTTGGCAAGATGTAAAAGTAACAGGGCTGTTGTCATTGGTGATTTTAACTTCCCATATATTGACTGGGACTCACTTAGTGCTTGGGGCTCAGATGGGGCAGAGTTTGTAAGGAGCATCCAGGAGGGCTTCTTGAAACTGTATGTAGATAGCCCAACTAGGAAAGGGGCCATACTGGACCTAGTATTGGGAAATGAGCTGGCCAGGTGGTCGACGTCTCAGTAGGGGAGCAGCTCAGGAACAGTGATCATAATTCAGTAAGCTTTAAGGTACTGATGCATAAAGTGTAGTTGTCAGGTGAAGGTGCTAAATTGGGGGAAGGCTAATTACAACAATGTGAGGCAGGAACTGAAGAATGTAGATTGCAGGCAGATGTTTGAGGGCAAATCAATATCTGGTATGTGGGAGGCTTTCAAGTGTAAGTTGCTCGGAACTCAGCACCGGCACATTCCTTTAAGGATGAAGGATAAGTATGGCAAGTTTAGGGAACCTTGGATAACAAGAGATATTGTGAGCCTAATCAAAAAGAAAAAGGAAGCATTTATCAAGGCTAGGAGGCTGGGACATACGAAGTAAGGGTGGAATACAAGGCAAGTCGAAAGAAACTTAAGCAAAGAGTCAGAAGGGCTAAAAGGAGTCATGAAAAATCATTGGCCAACAGGATTAAGGAAAATCCCAAAGCTTTTTATACATATATAAAGAGCAAGAGGGTATCCAGGCAGAGGGTTGGTCCACTCAAGGACAGGGAAGGGTATTTATGTGTGGAGCCAGAGGAAATGGGCAAGGTATTAAATGAGTACTTTGCATCAGTATTCACCATAGAGAAGGACTTGGTGGATGATGAGTGTGGGGAAGGATGTGTAGATAGTTTGGGTCATGTTGAGATCAAAAGGGAGGAGGTATTGGGGGTCTTGAAGAACATTAAGGTAGATAAGTCCCCAGGGCCTGATGGGATATACCCCAGAAAACTGAGAGAGGCAAGGGTGGAAATTGCTGGGGCCTTGAGGGAAATCTTTGCATCCTCACTGGCTACAGGGAAGTTCCCAGAGAATTGGAGAATAGCCGATGTTGTTCCTTTGTTTAAGAAGTGTGGCAGGGATAATCCAACTAATTACAGGCCAGTAAGCCTTACATCAGTGGTAGGGAAATTATTGGAGAAGAGTCTTCGAGACAGGATTTACTCCCACCTGGAAATCAATGGGTGAATTAGCGAGAGGCAACATGGTTTTGTGAAAGGATGGTCGTGTCTCACTAACTTGGTTGAGTTTTTTGAGGAAATGACGAACATGATCAATGAGGGTAGGGCAGTGGATGTTGTCTACATGGACTTCAGAAAGGCCTTTGACAAGGTCCCTCACAGCAGGCTGATACAGAAGGTAAAGCTGCATGTGGTCAGAGGTGAGCTTGCAAGATGGATAAAAAAGCTGGCTCGGTCATAGAAGACAGAGGGTAGTAGTGGAAGGGTATGTTTCTGAATGGAGGGCTGTGACATGTGGCGTTCCTCAGGGATCAGTATTAGGACCTTTACTGTTTGTAATATATATAAATGATTTGGAGGAAAATGTAACTGGTCTGATTAGTAAGTTTGTCCATGACACAAAGGTTGGTGGAATTGTGGATAGTGATGAGGACCGTCAGAGGATATAGCAGGATATAGATCAGTTGGTGACTTGAGCAGAGATCGCAGATGGAGTTTACTCCGGAAAAATGTGAGGTAATGCATTTTGGAAGGTCTAATCCCAATGGAAAATATACAGTAAATGGCAGAACCCTTAAGAGTACTGATAGGCAGAGGGATCTGGGTGTACAGGTACACAGGTCACTGAAAGTGGCAACGCAAGTGGAGAAGGTCATCACCAAGGCATACAGCATGCTTGCCTTCATCGGCCGGGGCACTGAGTTTAAAAATTGGCAGGTAATGTTGCAGCTTTATATAACCTTAGTTAGGCCGCATTTGGAATATTGTGTTCAATTCCGGTCGCCACACTACCAGAAGGATGTGGTGGCTTTGAAGAGGGTACAGAAAAGATTTGCCAGGATGTTGCCTGGTATGGAGGGCATTAGCTATGAGGAGAGGTTGGAGAAATTTGGGTTGTTCTCATTGGAACGACAGAGTTTGAGGGGCGACCTAATAGAGGTCCACAAGATTATGAAGGGTATGGACAGAGTGGACAGTCAGAAGCTTTTTCCCAGGGTGGAAGAGTCAGTTACCAGGGGCAACACAGTGTAGAGCTGGAGGAACACAGCAGGCCAAGCAGCATCAGAGGAAGAGGAAAGCTTACTATCTCTGATTGAGTTACCAGGGGCCATGGGTTTAAGGTGTGAGGGGCAAGGTTTAAAGGTGATATACGAGGCAAGTTTTATACACAGAGGGTGATGGGTGCCTGGAATTCACTGCCGGGAGAGGAAGTAGAAGCAGATGCTATAGTGAATTTTAAAAGGAGTCTTGACAAATATATGAACAGGATGGGAATAGAGGGATACAGTCCCAGAAAGGGTAGGGGGTTTTAGTTGTGACGGGCAGCATGTTGGTGCAGGCTTGGAGGGCCGAAGGGCCTGTTCCTGCACTGTAATTTTCTTTGTTCTTGTTCTTTGTTCTTAAGTATACATTAAAACAATAGCTAAGTCAATTCATTACTTTTTCTTATTAAATCAGTAAGCGTGATAGTTAATGCTGTCTGACTTTCAATTGTACAATACTTATTGTTCACACACACAATATTAGGGAAATGTCAGGAGTAAGACTAAACATGAAAAATGAGTGATAGAATACAAATATGTCTATTACATATTTATGTGGCTTGAAATTAGAACGAAACTATATGAAATTAAATGTATTAAAATCATTGACATTCTTCATTCTCAACATATAGGTTCAAGCTGAACTGAAAAAGAAATGGCGGAGCCTGGTTTCAGGTTGTCACTTGAAGCCCTATTACAATAAGCACAGAGCATCATTTTCAGGGAATGGTTCTTCTCGCAGAAATACACGAGCTCAGTCCTTCCTGCAGACGGAAACATCTCTGGTCTAAATGTGGTTCCAAGGCCAGTGCTGAATCCTGCAGCTTAACAGCAGAATCAAGATACCTCCCTGCATTCTGCGACAGAGACATGCGAGAAACTGACAGGAATGTTGGGCACAGATATTTCCTTTCCAAATTCAAGAATTTACATTTTGAGATGTGTACGCTTTAAACTTCTCAACAATACGACAGGCCAACACCGTTTAAAGGGTTTCTTGAAAACTGATTATATTGTAGCCTTCTGCACCTCGTAAGAGACAGCTTGAATATTGATTTACCAAACCTTCTGAAGTCAACTTTTTCACCTAGTTCACATTCAACTCTTTGTAACACGGACAAGATACATCACCAATTCCTGGAATGCATTGAGTTCCTGATGCCTGAGGTCCCAGAAAATATTTGGGCACTCATACATTCAAATGTTACTTTCACAGAAATCCGTCAGCAGTATTTATTGGAACTGTACCATGTCACAACTTGGACTGTATCATCGCAAGAGTTAGATTTGTGAGGTTATTTTGTATATGGTTTAAAACATTCCAGCATTTTAAGTTGTATGAATTGTGTTCTAATCATTTCATCACTTGTACTTCATTAGATGGGAGAAAATGGCATAATCATAATGGTTCCGAGGCCCAGGACAATTTTGTGGGGCCATTTATTTCAGATCCTGCCGCTGCAGCTGGTGGGATTTAAATTCAGTTCATGAAATCTGGAATTGAAATCATAAACTCAATAACGGTGACCATGATAACTATCACTGATTGTCAAAAAGACTCATCGGGTTTCTTAATGTCCTATAGGTCAGAAATCTGCTGACCATATCCCATTTGCCTTACGTGTGACTCCAGACCGACAGCAATGTGATCGGAGATAGTAGGAACTGCAGATGCTGGAGAATCCGAGATAACAAGGTGCAGAGCTGGATGAACACAGCAGGCGAAGCAGCATCATAGGAGCAGAAAGGCTGACGTTTCGGGCCTAGAATTTCTGATGAAGGGTCTGGGCCCAAAACGTCAGCCTTTCTGCTCCTATGATACTGCTTGGCCTGCTGTGTTCATCCAGCTCTGTAGCAATGTGATCGACTCCTCACTGTCCTCTAGAATGGCTCAGCAAGGCACTTAGTTCAAGGAAGGGCAGTACGTGGACTTGTGAACAATGCCTGTGTCCCATGGCAGATTAAAGAAGGCAAGTTTGTGCCACAAAGTGCATTTTGAGGAATTACTCTGGGGCCATGTCGTGAATAATTATGTGGCAATTAGAAACTGATACCACTGCCCTGTGGGACCATGTTATTCGAGAAACAGCTAAAGCCTGGATATTACTGAGACCAAGCTGGAATACATAGTGGGTTTGGATGATGTTTATATTTTTACTATTTCATTAGAATTATGGAATGATACAACAAAGCATGAAAACAGTTAAGCCATCTTAGAAAATTCATCCCTTACTGGAAAGCTTTCCACTTAAAGAATGTATTCATTTTTTTAGAAAGGCTATGTTTAAAATTACTTCCACTAGCCTTTCAGGCTGTGCATTCCAGATCATCATAACTCAGTTTGAATGAAATTCTCTTTGTTTCACTTTATCTTCTTTATCAATTCACTTAGACACTCTTCTGCTATTGAAAACTATTCCCCTGTTCACTTTATCAAAGCCACGCATGATATTAAAGCTCCACTTAATGTTCTCTAACAAGAACACCCTAGCTCCTGGAGTACATAGGAGCAGAATTAGGCCATTCAGCCCAAGGAGTCTGTACTGTGACTTAGAGACAGTAAGGACTGCAGATGCTGGAAGCCAGTGTCAATAAATGTGGAGCTGGTAACGCACAGCAGGTCAGACAGCATCCGAGGAGCAGGAAAGTCAACGTTTCAGGTCCAAACCTTCTGAACCTTTTCCAGCTCCACATCTATTGAATCTGTTCTGCCATTCAATAAGACCATAGCTGGTCAGATAATCCTCAGATCCACTTTCCTGCCTGTCCCCATTGAATCTCTTACAGATTAAAAATCTGTCTGCCTCAGCCTTGAATATATTTAATGACCCAGCCTCGACAGCCCTCTGTGGTAATGAATTCCACAGATTCACTACCCCCTGAGAGAAGAAATTCCTTCTCATCTCTGTTTTAACAGGACAACCCCTTAATCTGAGATTAAGCCCTCTGATCCTAGACTTTCCCACAAGGGAGCGTGGGGTGAGATAAGGTAAAGTGTCTCAATGTAACTGAAGTCTAACATCCCTGAAACAAGTTTAGTAAATCACTCTGCATTCTCTCTTGGCATTAGCATAAGTCAATTTAGTTTGAATAGATCAAAGGCTCCAGGCAGCAATCCCTGGTCTCACAACTGCATTCAAATAATACCGACAGTAGTTGAGTAAAATACAATTCAGATGCAATCAAATCCAAAACCCTTACCAAAAAAAAAAGTGGTGACGATGTGCTACAAAAAATTAATAGTAACTACCATCTCCTTATCTCCTTCTAAATAATTCAAAATAGCTCATTCCTCCATTTGTTTCACACCAAACATGCAAATTACATTACTATTTGCTCTGTCTGTTTCAACTAATTGGAAAAAGATCCAGGAGGAGGTTTGAATAAAGTAATTCCTGGGTCAGTGAAAGAGTCAGTGCAATGATATGAACGTCCAGAAACGTCAATTTGATTCAAATGTTTCAATGAATAACTGTAACATCACAAACGGCATCAACGGCAGAACATTTGCATTCTCCGGCCAACAGTGGGGTACCCTGAAATACCCTGAAAAGCCTTCCCATCTCCCTCCCATCTATGTCACGACCCCCATCCTGTCCTATGGCCTGAGGGGCAGAGGTACATACTGTGCTAATAATCTCAAGGGCTTTCAGGAGAGCCCTATGCTCAGACCACACCTCCCTGCTCTGTGGCCAATCCAAACGAGGCCATCCCCATACAAGAAAGAGACAGAAGTGGTGATGAGTTGATCCTTCAGTCAAAATTGTGTGTGTGTTTTGTCTCTCTCTCTCACATTGTTACTCCAATCAAAGACGAGTCATTTTTTTTTAATTATTCATTTAGAAGATGTGGGTGTTGCTGTCTAGGCCAGCACTTATTTCCCATCCTGAACAGCCCAGAGTCGAGAGAAGATTGCTGAGGGTCTGGGATCACATGTAGGCTAGAACAGGTGAGGAAGGTAGTTCCCTTCACTAAAGGGGCATCCGTGAGCGAGGTGTTGTCCCGGCCCCCTCCCATACTTGATGATGATTTTATGGTTATCGTAGAATAAAATCCCTACAGTGTGAAAGCAGACCCATTGAACCCACATCGACTCTCTGAAGAACATCCCAACCAGACCCTCCCCCCTACCCTATCCCTTTAACCCCACATTTCCTACAGTCTAATCCACCTAGACTGCACATCCCTGGACACTATGGGCAACTTAGCATGGCCAATCCACCTAACCTGCACATCTTTGGACTGTGGGAAGAGACTGGAGCACCCAGAGGAAACCCACGCAGACACGGGGAGAATATGCAAACTCCACACAGACAGTCGCCCGAGGGTGGAATTGAGCCTGAGTCCCTGGAGCTGTGAGGCAGCAAGGCTAACCACTGAGCCACTGTGCTGCCCAACATTAGATTTTTTTTATATCAAGTTTTTTTTGTTCAAATTGCCATCTGCCAGAGTGGGTCTCTGTATTAATAGCCTGGCAATAATATCACTTAGACCATCACTTCCCTAATGTTGTCATTGCACCAGAACTCAAAGTGTTAACTGTTTCTCTCGCTACAGATGCTACTAGACCTGTTGAGTTTCTGCAACAGTTTCTCTGTCTTCATTATAGGCTGATACTCTTCTGTATTTGCTGCTGACTGGCTCATTAGCATTTCTGGTGTCCACACTGGGGAACAGTTAAAACTTCTAACTGTGATTTAACAATCTCTAAACAGTTTACTCAACAACAATGTTAGCAACGAGAAAGTTAAGGATTTTTCTCCCCCCAGACATGAAGTAAATTGAAAAAAAAATCAAGAATAAAAATTGTTTATTGGGATTCAAAGTTTCAGACCCCTAATAATGATGTTAATTAAATCAATTTGTTTGGATGGTTTGAGAAAGTTTTATTCAGGAGCTAGGATGTTTTATTAATTTTAATCTCTATAACAAAATAAATCAGATAAGAAAGAACAGCACGAATATGATGATGAGTCAAATTTGACATGAAAATGCTTCACAGATGTAGAAAAAAATTGGTACAACTGATGTCACAGTAGCCATCTTTAAAGCTGTCAAAAAATTATGGAATCTTATTTATTGACATCATTTTGAGAAAGACCCCCTCCCCTCCCTCTAAATCTTTTATGAATACTTCAGCCATCTCGGGAAAAACGAAAATCTTCATTTATCTCCATGAAGATGCCATATTGGTAAAGGAAAACTGAACTTTATGTTGAAAACAGCATTTAAAACAGCAGGAATATTTTTCAGCTTCAGTACAATCGTTACAACAACAAAGATCCGGTAACAACCTCAATAAACTAGGAATGCACCAAGTTAACAAATTGAATAAAATACAAGGAGATCAAAAACCCAACAGTGATCGTACAAATCCACAAGACAACAATGCCGATCAAATGGTAATGCAAAAAAAAATCACCTGTACCAAATTTTTCCACCAGAACACTTCTCCCCAATATCGGGAGAATTTCAAATCATGTATTCCATAGACACAGATCGATGAGAAACAAGTTACAATTGACAACCTTCTAACAGCTTTTGATCAATATTTCACAAGAACAAATATAACACTGGTGAGATCACACTTCAACAGCAGATACAAGCTCCCAGGAGATGCAGATAACTTCATTAATTACCCCAATGGCTATCTGAACTATGCCACTATGAAAACTTACAACAAGAGCTCATTTTCGATATTATCATTGTTGGTCTCTCAGATAAATCAATCATCAAACTTCTTCAATTAAAAGAGGAACTCTAGAATCAGCAGACTGAGTACAACTGGCTACAAAGTCAAGAAGATTGTTCAAGAAGCATTACATAGCAAAATTTCCATTAATGCAAAACATTCTATAGAGATTGTTGGCTACTTAAAGGAGTAATCAGAAGAGACACTTTTCTCATCTGAAAAAAAATTCCATACGTGACAACGTCACCACAAAGCATAAAGCAATCTAATACTTCAATATCTTATTACAGACATGGTTCCAAACCCCCGCATCAGCAAAAACAAAATGTTCCATCCTTAAACCAATGTATTCATTGTAGGAAAAAGTGTGCTACAATTTAAAGAACACACCAAGCATCAAGATAAAACATTCCCAAGCCAACATTCATGCCTTGGAACAGAACTTTGGAAAAAGATCAGTACTGCAGTGGAACAAGTTTCTTTATGTGGGAACAGCTACCCTATGTATGAACAACATCGCTCTTTTTCTCAAAGAATTAAAACCACCACCTCATCCAAATGCAACCGATGGACTTTTACCTAAAATGTTTCTATGCCTTGTTCCAGACTTCCCTGACCCACCTATCAATGCAGATGAATCAAGTGAATGACTTGGAGAAGGGTGGAAGATAAAGAAAAACAAATGTACAGCAATTGTAAAATGTAATCATCTAGCTAACTCATTTGAGAAGGTAAATAAATGTTAATCAGTGTTCATGATGAGGAAGGAAAACTTGTGGAGGAGTGTCGTTTAAGGCCTTTAGGACCTTAGATCAAATTTGTGATGATGTCACAGAGTTGCTGCTCACTGGGCATAAATAACACAGTATGGGTGGAGTTAAGAAAAGAACCAAAAGAGAAGCCTGTGGAGTAGAGCAATTAGCATTTGGTAGTAGAGTTTGTGGAATAGTCTTCTGACAATGTAACAGTAAGGTTCGAGCCTGTATATTTAGTATGAATGTGTAACAAAC